GTTGACTAAAAATCGGACATAAAGAGACGACTTTTAATTTATCGAAAATGGTTGACTTTGTCGACTTACGGTCGACAGTTAAAGTTGACAAAAATCAGCCTAGAAATAGACGGCTTAACGTCGACTTTACAAGTCGACTTTAAGTCGATTAAAAAAAGTCGACAATTAGTCGACAAACAGCCATTTGTGCTGTCTGGGCAATCATATGTTTTTTTTATTGTGCCTATGAAACTATTGCATATTGACACATTAATGCGTTTATAAAATACGCATCATAATATGATATACACTAAATGTCAAAAGACAATTACTGTTACCTTCTTGCAAATATTGCTGCACGAGATCAAATTGTTTATCTTTGTTCTACTGCATTGGTTTTATCGATGCTCGTAAGCTTCTACGCTTGACGAACAGTGCCTAATCGCATGACAGTCGGAATGAATGTTGTGATTTGCAAATAACTATTGGTCATGCTTGTCCGCTGTATGTTCAGCTCGAGTCCGTGAGTTTGTTAATCTCAAAGAATTGCGCTGATCAATTTTCCCCCCGCGGTAATATAATAGTATAGAAGATTCACAATTGATGTAGTAATGAATCTAATTGCAATTTAAAACAAAACAAAAAATGAAGTTTTTTAATGTAAAAAATTCGATGCTAAATGATCAATATAAACGTTTATTGTGTGGAACTTATTAAGAAATCAACGATGTAGTGGTCTTCAGTGTAATCTCTTCTATATTGACGAACAATAAATCTGACTTGTATGCTAATTTCGATTGCACGTCCCTGATATGCATACCGTCGATCTTCATTTTCAAACATATTTTGTCTGTTCAAATAATGAATGAAATCATCATCAAGCTCTATATCGTATATTCTATGTGCAATGTTCATGGAGAACGGTACATGTGTTAATTATTTTGTTTGCCTTTGCGTATAATTATCTATTATCATAAATAATTAGTATGACTTTAGAAAACTGAATTACTAGTACGTATCTTTTATAACAAGTCGGAGATCGTCCACGTGACAAATGTGCAAAAGGATAAAAATCTCTGTTGCGTAGTCGAAAATCCAACAAAATAACACCAAACTTGCACGAATTTCAGTTCCTGAAGAGTCCGCGATCTAGTTTGCTCCAAAATTCTCGGAGTGTAACGCTCGATTTGTATACAAGGAAAATTGTTGCGGATATAAAAAAAGCAAATAAGTAATTTAAACTAGGTATGATCTTAGAAAACTTACTTCACGTACTTTATCAGTACGTATCAGAGTGAAGATCGTCTCTTTGTCCACTTGGTAAATGGCAAAGGGATGAAAATATGTGTTGCGTAGTCGAAAATCAAACTAAAGTTTCTTTTTCGTAAAAAGAAACCTATTATACTTTTACCATTAGAACTTTGTAGTATCTTTTACGTTTTTTTATCTAACAATAAGTTACAATTACGTAAATTTGCAAGTAATTGTTTGGAAAATAATTGTAAGAAATATGGTGGTTTGGTACATCACGATATAAAAAATTATTATTTAACAAAATGTTTGAGTTACTGAGATTATTACAAGTTCAAAAGGATAACGTCGTTTCACATTAATCGGAAATCATGATCGCTATGTGAATGTTTTAGGTGGAAAAATTAATCGATCTCAGAACAGATTTAATAAATATGAGACCTGTTGTAAATTTTGTTATTTGTATGATAAATACAATAACCTCTTAACTTTACAAGTAGCTGTTACAATTTTATCAAATTCAAAGCGTACGAATGTTGTTCGCATTACGATAAGTTATTATTATAATGATGGATGAATAGTCTTATCAATTCGTACGGTCAAAAAAGAACTCTTCGATTAACACTCACACCTTATTACATTTTCATGATGACATAACATAATTTGGAATATATATTCAATATAAATTTAATACATATTGTACATACCAGTGGTTAACGGCACTTAATAAAATTTGAGCAAGATAAATTAATAGTTTTTCCATTGGTGTAAAATATAATACATAAATAGACATACAGTTATTCGTGTTAATACTACATATATAAAATTATAAATTTATTAAAGTATGTGCTTATGTTGCATACACACGTATATATATACACTTCTCAACAAAATTAAAGCATCACTTACTCTACGCTCCAAAAATAGGCAAAATTCAAGAGAGTGTAACTTCGTCACATATATATAGAGAGAGCTGAAAGGAAAACATTGGGAGACCATGGAAAATATCCAAAAGCATGTTACAACGTTCCTGAGAGGCATTCCCGTCGAGGAGTTTCAGGGTGCCTTTCAGGCGTGGCAAACACGTCTCCGCAAGTGTATTGATGCAGGAGGAGAGTATTTTAAAGAATTTTAAGCATTTGTACAAGTACGATTAATAAATCTATTTTTCCCAGAAAATGCTCATTACTTTTATAATGAACCCTGTATATGTGGCGGTCGTCTCCCGCTCACACAAAAATACAAAAAGAATATACTACATATAATACATATACCAACTACCTGGCCTGCTAGCGCAGTGGATAACGCGCACGCTTCAAGCTCCGGAGGACCAGGTTCGAATCTCACAGTGGCCGATATATATTCTGCCTTTATCGTGTACAGCTCCTCAACACACGCTAACGTCAAATTGGTGACCCCGACGTGATACTGCGGCCAAGCATCGGATATACTCGGTAGCACTTGGTTCGCACGCACCGCACTGTCGATGTCCATACGGCCAGCCCAAACATCGTCAAACGGTACACAGCCAATAATCGGATACCTCGACTTTTAAAGATTTTCGCCCGCACCGTACGGTCGATGTCCGAACGGCTAAGCCCAACGGAGAAACACAGGCGTGCAACTGACAATGAGTCGCAGCGGCAACGAACCCTCCTCAAAAACACGCATCTACTCATCTCCAGGGCAGCAAAAACCCCGGGCGACGGGCAATAAACTCATCGGAGCTTGTACACTGAAGGAGGAGTACTGTGGCGGTCGTCTCCCACTCACACAGGTCGGAGGGAGAGGTTGAATAGGTCGAAAGATACTGTCCACTTGGGTTTTATTGTTTTAAAATAGTTGTATGATAAAAAATAATTTCCAGTAATATACATATACTTTTTTAATTTTTTGTAATGAAATTTCTTTCATGTCACATTGAAATATCCAAATGTTATTTTTATGTTTTACTACATAAGAATAAAAGATAGTACCGCTTTCTTCAGATCCGGCGAGATTCGTGCGACGTCGACAGCTGAGTGATAAGCTCCTCGTATAGAGTTACGCGTGGCAAATTTATTGACAAGTTTTACTTTGGGACCGGAGAGTCTCTTTTTTCCAAGAATTCATGCGTTTGAGCAATGTGACTATCTTTTTAAATGTATTTAATTGTGGAGTTATCAGCGAAATAGATTTCTTAACTGGCGGCTTCTACACGTGCACTTCTTAGAACACAAGAAGTCTTAAAGTTGACAAATGTTTATTGCAAAACTATTAATGATAGCAATGAAAAAATTATTGTTCTTGCAGATGGTTGCGAGTTCTTTCGGTATACGAATTGCATAAACATTAGAGTAGTGGTTGAAAAAAACGAATTAACGAAAGTTGCGAAACCGCGTGAATTCGAGCTCGACGAGAGCTGAGAGCCAATTAAGGGCTGAGCGTAATCGTGAAGGTGATGCCACTTGGGTGTTTTTTTTTAATTCAACAACAGTCTTTTTCGAGGTTGCATTATACATTTAAAGTAAAACCACCAAGGTTTTATTTTTTTATTTTAATAGCACAACTCTCGCAACAAGGATGACAAC